AAATGCAGTCATTTGGGTACAATGTGCCCTTCAGAGAGGGCACGGTGACAGCATGGGCTAATTTACGGAGCTGCCAGGGCAATAACTCAGAAAGCAATACTGCCTTCTCACAACAAAACGAGGCACCCCCAGAATGTTTCATGGTGGTAAAAGCTGCATTACAGCATACTGAGATCCCGGAACCAATGAAAGGAGACAAGTTTACCAAAACGAGTCTTGACAGAGTACGTTTCTGGCAAATACATTATTAGGCACTCATTCTACTCAGGTCCTGGAGAAACTATTTAGTTTCCTTATATGGCCCTTCTCTTCAGTTCTCCCCTGTATAATAACTAATGTCTTCTTAAAGAAACAAAGATAGAAAAGGAATAGAACTGTTCCACTCACCGCCTCCACCACTCCCTCAGTTTTTTTCAGGGAGGTGAGTGGAGGCTCATATCACTGAGTGTGGCACAGAAGAACTACCAGCTTTTGAAATTACTTTTTAAAAACTGATTCTGCTAAATAAATCTATGTTGATAGGGGAAGATAAGGGAAACACTGCAATTGTCTATGCTGGCTGCCAGAATTAAGCAGCCTTGTTTTAACCATGACAGTTTTCTTTAATCCCATCAGAAATTTAATACTACTAGAACTAAGATGCGATGTGCATGCATGGGTAGAAATACTTACTATGATGGCATACAAAAATCAAAGTAAATGCCAGCTGTCACTCCTGAGAATCAACTTCTAATGTTATTCCTTTTCTTAAAATTCTTCAGTTGGTCCCCATTATCTAAAAATACAATCCAAACTCCTTAACATGACCCCAACTTCATTTCTCAGTACATTTTCCTCCCTATCCTCAAATTCTACAGTCCATTTCCCTCCAAAAACCATGCTCCTATGCCTGGAAATCCTTTCCATTCCTCTGCTTGGTAAAATCCAAAGAGCTGTTTGGTTTCCTCTTCTTCGGGAAGACTGTCTTTTTTTTTTTCCTTTTTGTCTTTTTTACTGACCGGCAACGGGATCGCAACCCTTGGTGTTGCGCCCGCACCGCGCTCAGCCAGTGAGCGGGAACCGGTCTCCACATGGGATCCGAACCCTCGGCGGGAGCGCCGCCGCACTCCCAAGCGGCGCACTCTCCAGCGCGCCACCAGGCCGGCCCCGGGAAGACTGTCTTGATACCCATCCTCCAATGAACTCTCGGAGGATCCTGTGCTTATCTGCCACTGCACTCTCATATGGCACTGTAATTTCATTTTACTCACTTAATCTCTTCCACAAGATTCTTAGGATAAGTACCGAATTCTATCGTTTCTATTATATCCTCTAGTGCCCATGTAAGAGACATGACACACAATAATCTTTCAATGAATAGTAAATATAGCCATCTATTAATCTCATTTTCTTTTCAATAGAAAAATATTCACTCTCTTTAAAACCTTTCATAAAATAAAACTATCTTCCCATTTTGATGTACAGCCAGAATAACTTCGAAAGAATATACCATCTGGGTCATATCCTTGATAACATTTCAGGAAGTTGGTGGCTGACTGCTTCATTTATGACATCAGAAAGGAAGCCACTATTTCTAGAGCATTTATGTGTCTGCCACTATGTACCAAATTTATGAAACATACACATTACTTCAGTCTTGACAACCTGTGGTAACTCATTTTAGATCTATTTTGATAAAGAACCTGAGGCTGAGAAATTTGCCCAAAGTCACACAGCTAGCAAGTGATAAAACCAAACTAATACAATGTGCAAGATCAGGATTGATCAGATTTTCTTCAAAATGAACTGAAAAATGAGGTCAGCTGAAACTAAGATTTCCCACAGGGCTGAAAAAATGATGAAGGAAGCAAATAACTTGTCCATTTCAGACTATGGGTATGCAGTTTTAACAACATAAACTGAAAACCAGTCTTGTTCCCTTTCAGAGTTTAAATAATTGCACACACTGCTGCTGTCCTGTTAAATAATAGACTCATCAGACAATCAGTTTGAAGCACTGTTTTAAAACAACTTCTCAAATTTATTTAACTCATGTGGATAACATGGTAGAGTACTATATTTAAAAAAACAAAAGTCACCACTCAATACTTACTAAGTCTTGCACACAGCTCAGAGTTTAGGAAACATATTGGGCATAGAAATCACAGGACTTGTGTTATCCTTTGAAAGATGGAACTCCAACCAGAACCAGATTTTTCCAATTCAAATTCAGTTTTATTAGAGGTCCCATCATAATGATTAAAAAAAAAAAAAAGACTGGATTGTTGCTTTCTTTTTAATTTTCCATTCCTATTTAGAAAAATGACTAGAAGCACTGACAAAAATAAGCATTTAAAAGGGATTCCTCTCCAGAAGTTTTTTGTAAAGGTTTAAGTCCAGGCTTTCCATCCGCTCTCTATCCTTGTTAATTTTAAAAAGAAAGGGGTTTAGAATATGTCAACTTTTATTCGGCTTGCTATATAAAGCTTCTGCTTTCTCAAGTTCTAGACACAATGCCAGGACCATCTCCCAAACCTCTGGTCTTAATCAAGTCTATGCTTGGTTGCTAAAGAAGCTTGTGTTAATCCCAAGGTCAGTCACAATCCTAACCTTAAACAGTAGACAGCTGATTGCATCACTTATAAACATACACCAGGCTGAGAAGGAAGGAGCAGGTCAGACACCCCTTGTCTGTTACGGGTGAGTCACATCAGCAGTCGAGCCTGTGTTCCCTTCCCAAGAGCTCACTGTGCAAGATCACTGCCATACCACCTCAATCCACTGAGCTCACTGCCTGTCCAGTCATAACAGAAGTTCCTTGAAAATAACCATTGGAATAGATAATTTTCCTTAAGTTAAAAATGAAAATGTTTTATTTGCCATTTAGACCTACTAACAACTCAGTCTCTCCATCTGTTTTGGGGGCACAGCGGGGGGGGGGGGGG